TGATGAGCGACCTTGGCTGCGCCGACGGCTGCGGACGGCAAATGGGTGCGGAGAACTGCGCGGACGGCTGCGGACAGCGTGGGTGCAAGGGAGAAGTTGGAAATGGGCGGGGAGAAGAAGCCGCTGGTGATGAGCGAGCTTGGCTGCGCGGACGGCTGCAGACGGGAAATGGGTCGGAAATGTTTGCGGAGAGCTTCTCTGGGAGGGGGCGAGTCAGCATGCTGGACATAACAAAACCGTGATGCTGGACGGAGAGGAAATCGTGCAAATAGCTTGTAATAAGACTTGTGACATGGATGCGAAACGCTCGGCACAATAGGACACTCATGGGAATGAAGCGTTTTTCCCAAAAGCATCTTCGATGCTTGGGTTCTCGTTTAGTTGTTTAACCGCGTGGGGGAGCGAGCTGGTTTGAACGGTGGTGTGCGAACGGCGTGGGTGCAAGGGAAAGGAAGGGAAAGGAAAGGAAAGGAAGGGAAAGGAAGGGAAAGGAAGGGAAAGGAAGGTAAAGGAAGGGAAAGGAAGGGAAAGGATGGGAAAGGAAGGAAAAAGGAAGGGAAAGGAAGGGAAAGGAAGGGAAAGGAAGGGAAAGGAATGGAGTGGACGGCTGCGGACGGCGTGGGTGCAAGGGAGTGGCTGGAAATGGGTAGGGAGAAGAAGCCGCTGGTGATGAGCGAGCTTGGCTGCGCGGACGGCTGCGGACGGGCAATGGGTGCGGAGAAGTACGCGGATGGCTGCGGACGGCGTGGGTGCAAGGGAGTGGCTGGAAATGGGTATAAGAAGCCGCTGGTGATGAGCGAGCTTGGCTGCGCGGACGGCTGCGGACGGGAAATGGGTGCGGAGAATTGCGTGGACGGCTGCGGACGGCGTGGGTGCAACGGAGTGGCTGGAAATGGGTGGGGAGAAGAAGCCGCTGGTGATGAGCGAGCTCGGCTGCGCGGACGGCTGCGGACGGGAAATGGGCGCGGAGAACTGCGCGGAAGGCTGCGGACGGCGTGGGTGCAACGGAGTGGCTGGAAATGGGTGGGGAGAAGAAGCCTTTGGTGATGAGCGACCTTGGCTGCGCGGACGGCTGCGGACGGCAAATGGGTGCGGAGAACTGCGTGGACGGCTGCGGACGGCGTGGGTGCAACGGAGTGGCTGGAAATGGGTGGGGAGAAGAAGCCGCTGGTGATGAACGAGCTCGGCTGCGCGGATGGCTGCGGACGGGCAATGGGTGCGGAGAAGTGCGCAGACGGTTGCGGCGTGGGTGCAACGCTGGTGATGAGGCGAGCTTGGCTGCGCGGACGGCTGCGGACGGGCAATGGGTGCGGAGAACTGCGCGGACGGTTGCGGATGGCGCGGGTGCAAGGGAGTGGCTGGAAATGGGTGGGGAGAAGAAGCCGCTGGTGATGAGCGAGCTTGGCTGCGCTGACGGCTGCGGACGGCAAATGGGTGCGGAGAATTGCGCGGACGGCTGCGGACGGCGTGGGTGCCAGGCA